GTGCAAATCTGATCCTATTTAAATAGTCTGAACGGCAATGAACTACATGAAATCCGATTTTTGTAAATCTGTTTCGAGCTACATTCATATGTGGTATGAAATCCTATTCAAATCGCATTCCTGGAAATCCGTTTCAGTCTGACTGGTCAGATCGAATTTAGCATAGCTTTTTCACGTTCTCACTCCACATAAAGCATAAATACGTCAGATGTTTTTTGTAGAAAACATAAACATCTGAACATCTTTGCAGAAACAAGCTTGTGTTGTTGCAAAGTGCAAGTCAAGCGGAAAAAGACAACATACTGTTACACTTTAAAAAAAAATCTGTGACATTTACGGTAAAATACCGGCAGCTGTGGTTGCCAGAATTTCACCATAAAAAATATGGTAGCAACATTTTAGGTTTTACAGACTTAACTTAAATTCACAATAAAATACCACATTTCATTAACTGATGTAATGTTAATAAACCAGCATATGGAAGTACTAATATCTGTTTTGAACTATTGTAATGCACTGATAACCACCAAAAACTGGTGGTGATGAGAAAGTCACATGATGAACCAAAGCTCATCACAAACAGCTTTTCTACGAGCTGAGGAGGACAATACTTATATATAGAAGGTGCACAGTGTCATCCACACAAACACTAAACCCCATCATGGTGACACACATGATACTGAAATAATGCAATAAACATTCATTTAACATCATTAGATGTAAGATTAAACCCCAATGTACACAACTGATAAGAAAAAACTAAGAAGAAACATGTTATTTAAAAAAAAAACATAAAATATGAAGTGTCATGCATGGAATTCTGGGAGTGTCAATTTACAGTTTGTCACTGTAAATTATACAATGACTTTTTCTTTTTCACTTCCAAAAAGCTTATTTTTAACAGTATTTTACTGTAAAATTACATTAAATGTAATTACATTTATTCACCGAATATAGTATGGAAACTTACTGTTAACCAGTTAACATGTTTTTACTGTAGCATTTTACAGTCTTTTACTGTTAAAATCACAATCATTTTTTACAGTGTAGTATACGCACCTCTTTGAGTTATGAGATTGGTGGAGACGGCGGCACGGAATAAATAAAGTCACACATTCCAGCTTGCTGCATTTCTGCCGCTGCCTCATAAAACGAAATATAATCCAGTGTGAAGGCAGCATGTTGTCATGTCATAAGACAACATCTGTATTGCAGACTGTATTGCTGTTATTGTTGTTTTTTAGCATAGGCATACCACCACAATGGCATTGCCAGAGAAACCAATGCAGATATTCAGTAAAATGAAAGAGCGTTACGGGACACACACATCGGATTTGAACAGTTGCGATACACAGTGTGGACAGTAAGTCATCTAGATCGGATTCCAATCGGAAATGCACAAAATTTGGATTTGGATTGACAGTCTGAACCAGGCTTTAGTGACAGAGCTCCCATAAAAATCTAATCAAATTCAATGTAGTGCATAATAGGGCTGGGTGATATGGCTAAAAAAATGTATCAATGATATAATGTTTCATATCATTCGGTATCGATAATTTTTTGACATTTTTATAATCTTTTTTAAAACAAAGAGCAATATAATTTTTTTTTTTGACATTTAACCACTGTATTTTTAAATTAACTCAATTTATTGAGACAAACTTTTTTGTTGTTTTAACAGTCACAAAATAAAAATTAAACCAATATCTAGTTTCTAATGTTTTATATGCAGATTAAATAGGTCTTAAGGAAACTTTTGTCTTGTCTCCCGAGGCCACAGGAGAGAGCAATGAGCAAAATAGTGCAGCACATTAAATTGTCAATGCAAGGAAATGACTGTCTATAAAAAAATGTGCATTGCGTCTAAATTAACTCATATAAATCAAATATAATTGAGTAAATTGCATAAACAATTATGAACAAAACAGCATCACATATTTATGCATTGCTTAATACAAAAAGCCAAATCGCCCATCACACAGACTGCCTTTAAATCATATGAGACACAGTGAAAAGGAATAAACCTCCAAATATTTGTGACGTGTTTTCTAAACGTTTAGAAAAGTAAACCCATAGCTAATTTTACACAATGATTACAAAATTTGTCTATAAAGGTTTTTATTTCATGAAAAATTTGCTTTATTAAAGAAACTATTATTTTTAAGCTTTAGTTTCATGCTGGGGCCTGAAATGGAGGAATTTGGGTCAATACTGCTAATTAAACAATATTTTGCTGAATGTGTTTTTGTGCCGGCACCTTGGCTGGTTTAGGACTGTCATGGATAAATAAAGATGACAATAAAACCGCCAGTAGGTGGCAGCAAATCCCTGTTTTAATAACTTATTTATTGAATCATTCAAATCAAACGATTAGTTCAAAACGGCTGATTCAGTTAGAAACGAAACAAGTGAATGGACCGTTGAATCACTGGCTCACATGATTCGTTCAAAAACAGATTCATTCAAGGAATGAAACACCGCGTTGCTCTACACTGTTGTATAAAATTATTAGCATATTTATGTGCTGATATTCAGAAAAGTACATTGATTGTGCAATGAATATAAAAACATAAAAACTCATACATGGGTATTTTTTCTTTCATTGCTTGAATTATAAGGGCATTCTAACTGCATTCTAATGGGCTTCATGGCGCAGTGAGTGAATGCTTCTGGACTCTCAAAATGTGTTTTTGTTTGTTTTTTGCTAAGTCGGTGACATACTCGTCAGCTCTCCTATCGTCTCTCGGTCCCTTACAGTCATACATACAGCACAAGGACATTATGTCAGGAGAATGTCTTTAAATTCTAATCAAGGAAGGGCTGGGTGATATGGCTAAAAAAATGTATCAATGATATAATGTTTCATATCATTCGGTATCGATAATTTTTTGACATTTTTATAATCTTTTTTAAAACAAAGAGCAATATAATTTTTTTTTTTACATTTAACCACTGTATTTTTAAATTAACTCAATTTATTGAGACAAACTTTTTTGTTGTTTTAACAGTCACAAAATAAAAATTAAACCAATATCTAGTTTCTAATGTTTTATATGCAGATTAAATAGGTCTTAAGGAAACTTTTGTCTTGTCTCCCGAGGCCACAGGAGAGAGCAATGAGCAAAATAGTGCAGCACATTAAATTGTCAATGCAAGGAAATGACTGTCTATAAAAAAATGTGCATTGCGTCTAAATTAACTCATATAAATCAAATATAATTGAGTAAATTGCATAAACAATTATGAACAAAACAGCATCACATATTTATGCATTGCTTAATACAAAAAGCCAAATCGCCCATCACACAGACTGCCTTTAAATCATATGAGACACAGTGAAAAGGAATAAACCTCCAAATATTTGTGACGTGTTTTCTAAACGTTTAGAAAAGTAAACCCATAGCTAATTTTACACAATGATTACAAAATTTGTCTATAAAGGTTTTTATTTCATGAAAAATTTGCTTTATTAAAGAAACTATTATTTTTAAGCTTTAGTTTCATGCTGGGGCCTGAAATGGAGGAATTTGGGTCAATACTGCTAATTAAACAATATTTTGCTGAATGTGTTTTTGTGCCGGCACCTTGGCTGGTTTAGGACTGTCATGGATAAATAAAGATGACAATAAAACCGCCAGTAGGTGGCAGCAAATCCCTGTTTTAATAACTTATTTATTGAATCATTCAAATCAAACGATTAGTTCAAAACGGCTGATTCAGTTAGAAACGAAACAAGTGAATGGACCGTTGAATCACTGGCTCACATGACTCGTTCAAAAACAGATTCATTCAAGGAATGAAACACCGCGTTGCTCTACACTGTTGTATAAAATTATTAGCATATTTATGTGCTGATATTCAGAAAAGTACATTGATTGTGCAATGAATATAAAAACATAAAAACTCATACATGGGTATTTTTTCTTTCATTGCTTGAATTATAAGGGCATTCTAACTGCATTCTAATGGGCTTCATGGCGCAGTGAGTGAATGCTTCTGGACTCTCAAAATGTGTTTTTGTTTGTTTTTTGCTAAGTCGGTGACATACTCGTCAGCTCTCCTATCGTCTCTCGGTCCCTTACAGTCATACATACAGCACAATGACATTATGTCAGGAGAATGTCTTTAAATTCTAATCAAGGAAAAATCACACCTTCTGTTGCCTTCTTTTTAAAGAACTTCAGAAATAGCGCTTGAAACATTTTGCAAGAAACTTGCTTCAGCTTGTGGCAGCTTGTTACAGTACCGAGTTCTGATTGGCCAATCGCCGTTATTTAGTTTGAGAATTATCATAAGTAGAGAATTTTAACATTTAATTTGCACAATCAATTTTACATAATACACAACATTATTAATCTAAAGGGGATGGTTAGGGGGGATGGTGGTTTCACAGGGGGGATGCTTTTTGTAATTTTTTTCAACCAGGGGGATCCCCCCGCATCCCCCCTCAATTCGAGCCCTGCACACACCTAACATTCGATTGTACTATTTTTGCATTCAAATGCAAATGTTTATTTTAAATTAAACTAATATTCAATTTTTTATTCACAATCTCTTCATCACAGGCAGGCACAGCACTCATGTTCATGTTCATGTCTGTCTGCGTCACTCAAAGCACGTGCCTATACTACGCGCTATATAGAATTTTTTTTATATCGTTATCGAAGAAGGTGTATCGTCGATAAATATCGATATCGTTTTATCGCCCAGGCCTAGTGTATAAAGTAAAAGTCTTAAAATTAAAACATTGTTTATGAGCAGCTTCAAAATCTCATTTTGTTACATTTTAGATTTATTACTTTGTCCTCAAGCCATGATGGAACCATGCGCTAACAGCACAAAGATAAACATGGAGATAACTGGCAATTAAAACATTGTGGTGCCGTTCGTGTGCGCTCATCTTGTAAACACGATTATCCCTAGGTGACGTGACTGCAGCAAGTGACACCTGACTCGTAGAATGTTACTGCTGTGCTGTAATCATGAATGTGAAGCCGCACCTGTGGAGAGCAGAGCTCAACTCCTCCAGTCTGTGGGACTCGCTGCTGTTGCTCATTTTTGACAGGGTGTCGATCCTCTTCATGATTATCTCCAACATATCACTGATCTTCCTCAGGACACCGCGAGACTCGAGACCACCCAATACTGTTACACAAAAGAATGAGGACATGTCAGTTCAGACAGATACACAAAGCAACACGTTATGCTTACAGACATTGCTGAAAAGATCAAGGTAAGTTTCAGAAAGGGATAGTTAACTCAAAAATGAATATTATTTACTCATTGTAAACCTGTTATTCTAAAACAGTATCACTTTTTTGTCATGGAACACAAAAGGAAATGTTTAGGAGAACATATAGAAAAAATGCAGCATTGCAATAAGGCATGTTTTAGCCACTCTATATGTAATAATTATTTGTATGTATATAGGACTTTAATAGGTTTGCATGTTGTCATAGTCATTTTAGTTCATTTAATTTCTCTTAATATTTTATATGTGTAAGGTGACCATATGTCCTGGCCAGGATTTTTATATTGCCTATATATTTGAATATGATTAATAAAAAAAAAACTACCCCAAACTTTGAACAGCATTGTATAAGCTATAGCTTAGCTTGGTATATTTGTTGACTAGTTTTCACAACACTGATTTTCAGTAAGCATAAATGATACCTTACATTTTGACCTAAACTACTGCCTTTTTGTCATTTTCGAAGCTCAGCAGACCTATTTCCACTTCACTTTCATTGTATGGGGTAGATTTGTGTGCCATGAATTTGTAAACATCATCTTTTGTGTTCTACATAAAGGTTTGGAATGACACGAGGGTAAATGATGGAAGAACAGTTGACACCACAGCTATACGGGTCCCCATGCAGTTAGACCAGCACCAGTCCAGCATGGAAATTTATGTTGGCCTCAACAGAGGAAAATCACAAAACAGAGATAAGTATACTCTAGGGTTGTACTACTGAGAAAAGCTCAAAAACAAGTCATGGCAAAACAAAGAGCCTAAATGGAGACTGAACTCAAATTCGCTGGCATATTAGTTGTATTTACTCATAATACAAACAACAGGCTGAGGGTTTTATTCAACAACATTTCAAAAGCATCTCATTAGCACAGCCTCTCTCTCTCCAGAGCATCAGTGGTGAGGCAGCCTACTTCAACACGAAAGGACACAAACAGCACAATACAGGAAGGGGACCAATTAGGCTGACAGTCAAGTTTAATTTCAGAGCTTTCCGAACTCCTGCTGTCTGTTTCCCAGGAAGCTGGTGCAAGTGAGCGGATGACTCTCACCTGGCCAATTAAACAGAACACATCTATAACTGTGAGGTCAGTAGGCCTTCAGAACACTCCGCTCTGACATTCTCTGTTCCCACTCGCAGCTGAGATCATCGTGAAGTGAATGCATCTTACTAATGATAAAGGCTACAAGAACATTATAGCCAGGTTATTTCGAAAGTTTCTTTTACCCACATGAAGGCCTCCGCGGCTGATCTTCATCAGAGCTAGACTACTTTATATTGAGGTCAACACTTCTCAGAGTTGGATTTGTGAACTTTCACTGTAAGTAACATGCTCACCAAAGCATTACTCTGTGATTGTACTCACCCCTCATGTTGTTGTTTTAAACTTGCATGCATTTCTGTCATGTTTTAAATAATTTTGGGGTTAAAAAAAATAGTAGAATGCATTGATTTTCATTGTATAGAAAAACAAATGAGTCAACTAATTGGGAATACGGAAGTGTGTATTACTAGTTAGGTTGCATGTTTACATGATTGCGAATGGGCATTAAGACATGAACATAGTCTTCTTTTCTTTTTCCTTTTATTTTAAGCTGAGAAGTTGCAACAGATCTTTTCTTCCGTATTGTGACACATAGCCAAGTGAAATGGATTATCAAGACAGAAAAAAACTAAACATAGGATTGAGACTTGGTTCTGTGCTATTGGTTCTTAATTGGATGGAGGCAAATCTGAATGCGAGCTTGTAGTTAATTGTAAGAAAGTTTGTTTATGAGGACAAAATGATTGGAGAAATCCAGCAAATGTCATTAGAAAGAAAAAAAATACATGCATGGCTGAATTGTTCACAATCCGATCAATAATATGCATTTAGAATATAGATTGAATTTTCATTTCATGCCAACGTTAGGTTGACATACCATCCTAAAACTGCAACAGTCTTAAAAAAAAAAACTGTTGCATGACCTGTTAACTATTGTGACCCATCCTTAGTTAATGCACAGAAATGTCTTCACAAGGTCTGACTCGAAAGCAATTATGATTTCATACCAAACTTCAAATAGGCTGTGTGACAAAACAATGACAGATAATATCTGGTAATCTACAGTAGTTGAACTACATCCAAAAAGTTTAAAAATGTTCTGGTCCAGATGTTAACTTTGGTCTGCTAATTGAATGACCACTGAGTGCTTTTGATCTCACTGAATTTTGTGCACCGAGTGATCACATATATCAGGCCGCATAGCCATTTCATCCAAATCAATTGGAAGATGTGTAAAAACGATTGATGGGTTGGATTTGGCCTGCAGGGTGCTAGTTCAGGATGATCAGACAAACATCTTAAACACTGTTCTGCATTTTAACAAGATAAAAAAGTAAAATAATACTGGGTTTGTTTCGATGTCTTTCAGGTTAAAAAAATAAATGGGAAATTTAGTGAGTCTGTTAGTTCTAGCAGGAGAGTGTTCTGCAGGGTTTAAAACCAGAATTGTAATGCTCTTTTTTTTCTCAAATCACTAAACTGAAATCTTGTTTATTAATTAAGCAAACTGGTGATGAGTACATTTTGAGTAAGTAATAATGGAGACATCATAAATTATGCTTTGAGACCTCAGATTCCTACTGTTTACATTTGAATGTAAGCGTTAGCAGCATAAATACCACTTAGCAAAAATCCACTTAATCATATAGCTTCACAAACTTATCTTGAAAAGGTTGTGGGCAACTCTTTGGAAAAAAAAGACAAATGTTTGTTTGCTGGACTTAGATGGTTTAATCTTGTTTAGCTGGTGTTCAGCTGCCCAAAACTACAACCAGACTAGCCTGACTAGTAGAAATCAAGCAGCATGGTGGCAAATTAAGACAAGCAATCCACTATAGTTTGGAATCAGTTTTTAACTTAAAAATATCCACTGAAACAGTACACCATCTGGGCATCTTTGGCATACTATTTTCAGCACAGGTCTACCATTATTTAGGATGCAAATTTTAATCATGCATACAATTCAGGACAGATTGTATGCAAATTAGGATGCAGTGAGTGATTTTTGAATAGTTATGTAACATCGCTTTTATGTCCCTTGCACTAGATACCAAGCAAAAGGGAGAAAAGGGTTGGTAAACAACCACCATTCACATGCCAACATGCAATTTTACACTTTCAAAGTCTGGTAGTTTCTCATTCGCTCATTTACGGAGCGGTAAATCAAAATTACTGTTAGAGGTTACTGACAGAAGGACACAGACAGTGGGTTAAAAATAGCCTGGAATATTTCGTTTAGCCTAGTCATTCCGTAACTTCATTCAAACTACAGAATACAAGCAGCCTAGCAGTAAGGTATCAGAAGGCATTATGACTCAAAACTTTTCCTTTTGTGTTCCTTAATCAACCTTATTATGCATCCAGAACTTTCCAGATAGCAAATCCGGCAGCACAGTTCAGTCATTGTTGTCCATGAGAAAGTCACCAGCGTTTGTTTAATTACGAGACATGTAATGGTTATTGGGTCTGTAAATTGGGTCAGAAATCCTATTTCTGCTTTTGAGAAGTGGAGGTGGATTTTATAGTGCTTGAAGTTTTGGAATACTAATGTCTTTGAATATCCCTGCTGAACCTGAAATCCAGCATGACCTGTTTTGGTTGCTGATGCGCTGGTGTTTCATCTTGGTCAGCCAGCCCGTGTTGTAGTACTTGAGACCGGAGTCCGCCATGAGTCCAAGGTCATATTTTGACTGTTTGACTGTTTTTGGTTCTTAGCTTTTTATGTAAAGCACTATTGGTAACCCTTGGGGTTTTTAGTAGTTCTATATAAATAAATAAACCAAACCAAACCAAATTATTTTCAGTCTTGGTCTTATTATTGGCTCAAGAGCTTTTGGACTTGAACTCAGTTTTGACTTGGACCTGAGACCAGATTCAACTACTACAACACTGCAGCTACGTTTTGTAGTCTGTGTTGGCTTGCAAATATGATCCGGTCTGTGCTATCTTGTCTTTTGACAGGAACACACTGTATGTGCACTGTGGAGGTTTGCGTAACACTAACATGAAAGCAGGCTTAATTCACCCCAAAGGAAAGCATATTTTTCTGCATACACTGTCATGAGATATTCAGACCCTCTTCAGGTCTCTGTTTTGACTTCAACATGGATTCAACCCCATTCTGTTTTCGGTCATGACTTGACTTGAAGTCCACTTAAAGACCACGTCTGTGCTGGTCCACCAGACCAGCATCAACCCGACTATTACCAGCATAAACAAGCCTACACCAGCATGCAAATTCATTTTGGTCTTGTTCCAGGTCTTATCCAACTAAACTTGTCTCCAGATTGGCAAAAAGAATCCAATCTAATATAAGAATTAGTACACATTTCAGTGTTTACTATACCATAGTCAAATCCCAGCTGAGAGAAATCATTATCCCTGATTCCCAAAATCTTACCGAACCTTAAGCAATACATTTGATCTTTGTGCTGTTCTAAGGTTGACTTTAAGGCGGACACTATTTTCAAAGCTCTGGATCAGTGAACGATGCGAGCAGCGTGTGCCTACTAATCCCACTAACGTATGCTGCCTCAGCTTCCGGATGTGTTTATTAGCTTACCAAAAATCCCCTATTTGTTAAACGGCAAGGGCTGACAGAGTGATTCATGACTCCCACATGCGGCTGTATACTGCTGACTGGAGCCGGATCTTGGAAGGAATGCTTGTGTGTGCATGTTTGCAGGTGTCCGTGTTAGAAACCCATAAGACCATTATACATGTTATGTGTGGGTGAATGGGTTTGAGTAATAGAGTAATACTGTATTTAGTATTCTCTATCACAGATTATTTACAGATTTACAGTAGATTTTTGATAATTTTCATGACCATTTTCCACCCTCACTCTG